CTTTTGTTTTATGCTCATCATGCAGAATTTTAAGTTCATTTTTATTATAATTCTATGCATAATGTGAAAGTTCCTGCCGGAATACAGAGGTAATTCATATGAGGGAAAGATTTTTTTTGGTGGGTGGGGGGCAAGGGGTGAGACATTCTTAGCTATTTAAAAAACACAAGAAACTCTTAGTGCCATTTGTAAATGCTGTGAAAGCTAAGAACAAGGATTATGTTGATATCCATTACTCTAAGGACAAAGACTGAAAGTTAGCCTAGCCCACAGACCGTGGATCATCTGATCTCCATCCTCCTCCCATTAAACAAATGGAAAGATATACCCAGCTCATGGGTTGGAAGAATCAACATTGTCAAAATGGCCATCCAGCCCAAAGCAATTTAGAGATTCAATGCAATTGCAATAAAAATCACAATGGCATTCTTCGAAGAAATAGAACAAAGATTACTAAAGTTCATAAGAAAACACAAAAGACCCCAAATAGCCAAAGCTTTCCTTATATAAAAGTGTGGAAATGAAGGTATCACACTTCTGATTTCCAACTATACTATAATGCCATAGTAGTGAAAGCAGCATGGTAATGGAACCTAAAACAGACACACAGACTAATGGAATAGAAGTGAGAGCCCAGAAATAAAACCACATTTACAGACAATATACAAGAAAGGAACAAAGTACATACTCTGGAATAAAGCAAGCCTCCTCAATAAAGGGTGCTGGGAAATTGGACTGCCACATGTAAAATGATGAAACTAGACCATTATCTCACACCACACATGAAAATCAACTCAAACTGGATAAAAGACTTGGATATAAGACTTGAAACCATCAAATATATAGAGAAAAACCTTTGCAAAATACTCCCTAACATAAGAAACATATGAAGGAGAGGGCCTCACCGGTGGCGCAGCGGTTGAGCGCTGGGTTGCAAAGCTGCCCGCAGCCTCTGCAGCGCCAGTTCGATCCCCGGCCACCGGGTGAGGGTCCCAAATAGCACGCAGACCTCTCCTGCTGCCCGCTGCTCCCCTCAGCAGTGTATTTCGTCAGTCTTTCTGTTCTGCTCCCCGCTCTGGCTCTGGTGAATTCTCTCACCCTCCCACGCTTCTGACTGTACCCAGTGCTTTTATAAATAAATCTGTAAAAAAAAAAAAAAAGAAAGAAAAGAGAAGAAAGAAATATATGAAGGAGAAAGTAAACAACAGATACTGTATCAAACTAAAAGTTTTCTGTATGGCAAAAAAGACAGTGAGCAAAACAAAGAGACACCCTTCTGAATGGGAGAACATGTCTGCACATCCTACATCTGATAAGGAATTGATATCAAAGACCTACAAAATACTTATACAAATCAACAAAATGAAAACAACCAAATCAAAAATGGGAAAAGGATCTAAATAGTCACTTCTCCAAAGAAGACATGCAGATGGCCAAAAGGCCCATGAAAAAATTATCTTTCTCATTTATCATCAGGGAAATGCGAACTAAACAATCATGAGACACCACCTCACACCTGTGAGAATGGCCCATAGTTTAAAAAATACACAAACAAGGGGCCCGTAGAGGCAGGAAGGCCATAAGAGCAGGATATCTAGGATTCGAGCAGACCAGTTGGGTAAAGGAAAGTCCTGGAGCCCTCGGTGGCTTTCTCAGGCTTTTTGTGAGCTTTTACATGTAGTGCAGCAACCAGGCACACAGCAGACATGGGTGCCAGTGGACCAGGAGGCCAATAGGCTGATAGGCCTCCAAGCCTGTGGCAAGTCTTCACTCTGGGCTTCTCTCTCTCTCCTCTGGCTTTCTTTTTCCTGGCTCTGCTTCTCTTGGTGACTGTCTCAATACTCTAGTCATGGCCCACAGAAGTAAACAACACAGCTTACAACAATGTGACAACTGCAGGTGCCCGGTGAGGCAGGGCAATCCTAATGGAGGGAGGGCTGAAAAGCCTGAAAACCATTTACCCTACAGGGCCTCCCTGGTGGCACAAGAGGTTAAGACACAGCACTATGAAGCTATCTGCAGCCACTGCAGCATGAGTTTGATCCCCAGCCAGGAAGGGCACCCATATGGTGCGGCAAACCTCTCCTGTCTCACCCCCTGCTCCTCTCAGCAGTGCATTTTAGTAGATCTGCCAATTCTGCTCCCCACTGTCTCTGATGAATCCTCTCACCCTCTGCATCTCTGGCCTGCATCCCAGCTCTTGTATGCATAAATTTAAAAAAAAAAAAACCTTAAAAAAAAAAACCCACACAAACAACAAGTGCTGCAGACAATGTGGAGAAAAAGACCCTCTTACACTGTTGGTGGGAGTGTGAACTAGCCCAGCCACTATGGAAAGAAATGTGGAGATTCCTTAAAAGACTGAAAATGGATCTTCCACATGACCTAGCAATTCCACTCAAGGGGTTAAGTCTCAGCACTATGGAGCTATCCACAGCCACTGCAGCACAAGTTCACCCTGCCAGGGAGGTGGTCTGCACAGCAGACCTCTCCTGTCTCCCCACTGCTCCCCTCAGCATTGTACTTGAGTAGATTCACCTGTTCTGCTCCCCACGCTTGGTTTGTACTGTCACCTGTGCCTTCCACACCTCTGGCCTGCACCCTAGCTCCTGTATGCTTAAATAAATGTTAAAAAAAAAAAAAAAAGAGCACAAATGCACTAAACTGAAAGGAAACCTGTGCTCCTATGCTCACTGCAGCACTAGCTAAGATAAGGAAAACAAACTACATGCTCCAGATCAGACGGGGAACAGGATGGGTTCTATATACACAATGGGACACTACACGGCAATCGAAAATGATAAACTCAAGCCAAGTGCAGCAACGTGGATGGAGCTGGAAGGGATTATTCTAAGCAAAGTGAGCCAGAAGGAGAAAGATAAATACAATACCGGATGGTCTCACTTATGTGTGGAGTCTAGACAAACCAAACACAGAATCAAACAAAGACAAACTGTAAATGGACCCTTGACAATGCGCTGTGAGTCTGAGACTCTCAGGACTGTTAGGGGGAGGGGAAAGAAAGGGTGAGAGTATAGAAGTGGGGGCAGGAAGAGAGGAAGGAAGGGGGCCTAGCAAAGAAGGGGGGGCAAGAGAACTTGGTGGTGTGTGGGGAGGATGGTGGGTGCTTTGGTGGTGGGAAAACTATGTTGACCACACCTGAGGGGAGAAATCCTATATTGTGAAAAAGTTAACAAGGGTGTTTAAAAAGTAGTTATCACGGCCTCCCCCGTGGCACAGTGGTTGAACGCTGGGTTGCGAAGCTGCCCGCAGCCTCTGCGGCACCAGTTCGATCCCCGGCTGCTCCCCGGCCACTGGAGGAGGGTCCCACATGGCGCGCAGACCTCTCCTGCCGCCCGCTGCTCCCCTCAGCAGTGTACTTCGGTCCTTCTGCCTGCTCTGCTCCCCGCTCTGGCTCTGGTGAATTCTCTCACCCTCCCGCGCTTCTGACTGTACCCAGTGCTTGTATAAACAAACAAACAAATAAATAAATAAAGCATGCCTCTATAAAAAAAAAATAAAAAAAAAAAAATAAAAAATAGTTATATCAAAACTGTATGATGCATATGTTACTTATATATTTACCGCAGTAACAATGCGGGAGTTTAAAAGCAAATAATTTATAAACATAATTACCACATTAAGCAATAAAATGCAGACACTAATAATTGCAAAAAGTCTTAAATTTAGCACTCACTTATTATGCTTAGCAAAATAAGTCAGAAGGAAAATGATAAATATCAGATGGTTTCATTTATACATAGAATATAGAGAATCTGAACAAAATGTCAAGACAAAACTTATAAGTTATGTGCCACAAAGGGAAAATCTCCCCTCTAACCTCCTGAACATGCCACTCTCATCATGTCATCGGATATCAATGACATGTATATGTGCAGGTATGTTCCTGCTCTGTTTGGTTCTATGCCAGCTAAGTATGTACGCTAGAAAATTCTTATATGGGTTCTTCAGGAACATGAATGGAGCTGTTTTGTAATCATACTGTCTTTTGTTTTTCCAGGTTTTTTGCTTATTGGTGTGAAGCGATTTTGTTGGCCATCACTAGGAGAATGAAAAAGTACAATCAGACACTTAGAGTATATGGAATCCTATATAGCAGTAAAAAAAAATCAAAGCTTTAGATTTACTTGTTATACTTAGTAACAAGGATAGTCTCAGAAGCACAATACTGAGTGAAATTTTATGAAATGTGCTATTAGTCTAGCTCAAAAGTAATTTTCTCTCTATCCTTTTGGATAATAATGATGTGACAAGATAGGTTCATCAGTTGTAACAATCTGCCACTTTGGGGTAAGATGTTGATAGTGGAGGAGGCTGTGCATGGCTTGGATCAGGAATATGTAGGAGCTGTTTCATTTTCTCCTCAATTTTGCTGTGAGCCTAAAACTGCTCTTTAAAAAAAAAGTCTATTAGCAGGGGCCTCCCTGGTGGCCCTGGGGTTAAAGTCTTAGTGCTATCAAGCTATGGCAGCCACTGCAGCATGAGTTTGATCCTGGCCAGGGAGCTACCCACATGGCACAGCAGACCTCTCCTGTCTCACCCACTGCTCCCCTCAGCAGTGCATTTCAGTCAGTCTGCCTGTTCTGTTCCCCACTCTGTCTCTGGTGAGTCCTCTCACCCACCACACCTCTGGCCTGTACCCCAGTTTTTGTATGCATAAATAAATATAAATAAATCTTTGAAAAAAAAGTATTATTTTCAATGACCATAGAAGTGATGAGGCCTTCCCGAGGTCTCATCCCAGGGCCAGAGAAGTCCAGAGAGCAAATCTGGACAGGAGCAGAAATGAGCTTCTTTTGAATTTTACTTTGACTGTCAATTGCTCCACTAAATGCAAAAATCAGTTGCCTTTCCCTTGACTTATGATTACTTCCCAAGAGTTCCCATCCAGCCAGCATGTACATTTTTTTCACACATTTCTATTTTTCCCCCTAGGTAGGAGAGGGATAGAGATGTCACAAAAGGTGTTTAGGAAGCTTTTTAACTTTTTATTGAGGTAACAGTCTTCTACAACACAGTAAAGATTTCGGTGTACAGTTTCTTACCCCAGCAACTATGTCATACCATACCCACCACCAACCTGGTTCCTCCACCCCTTTCCCTCTAATAACTACCATTTTGTTGTCAGAGTCTAAAGGTTTGTGTTCATTTGTGTTGTATTTATTGATTGTTTTTGCTTTTCTTTTATTCCATGAGTGAAGAACATGATACATTATTTGTCTTTCCCCTTTTGACTTATTTCACTTAGCACAATCCTCTCAAGGTCCATCCATGCTGCCAATGGCAAGGTTTTATCTTTTTATGGCTAAACAGTATTCCATTTTTTATATATGCGACATCTTGATCTTAAAGTACAGATCTTATGGTATGGTGACAATTCCTCGGAACGTTCTTTGAATTTGATGGAAAGGATTTTTATTTATCACTGAATGTAATGTTTGTTAGGTAGGACAGAGTGACTGTTGGCTTCTGGAAGGGTGCGCCTGCTGCTTCTCAGGGTTCGCCTTGCACTGTGGCCCCCTCAGGAGACCGCCTTGCCTGAGGAGTGAGAGAAATGGGCAGTCTTTGAGTATGCTCCATCCATGCCAGCCCAGGTGAGTCTCCCTCCTCTGAAGGAAATTCTGCATTGCAGAAGTCCTCACCGAGCCCCCCTGCCAGGTGTCCCCATCCTGGGGACTCCACCTCAGTTCCACCCACATGGCTCTCAGGGCCTCCCATCCAACAAATCCTGGGAGCTGAAGTGCGGAAAGTGAAGGTATGGGTCCTGGGGAATGCCTTCTACCCCCACATCTGTAGCTACTGCCTCTGTCCACTCTTTAATTCCTACCCCAAGCTTGGCCCCACCCCCTACTCACCTGAGACCTAGGCTTTCCAGAGAAAGACAAATAGGACCGAGAACACCAGGCCCTTGCTCAGGATGAGTCCGAGAGTCAGAGTGGTAATCAGCTGTGGCAGACCTGTGAGGTCAAGGGCAAGTGGAGATCCGTGCCCTTCTGAATCTGAAAGGGGGGAATGTTACACTTTGAGGCTCAGCCTGCTCCCTGTTTTTGGCTATGAGAGCCAAGCAGGGGCTCACACCCATTGAGATGAGACCGCTGCCTTTCCTGTGATCCTTACCTCTAAGAGCTCCCTTCTCCACTATTCCTGCACACGGCTCCTGGGTCACTCTGCACTGGGCCCTCACTCCTGACTCAAGGGTGCAGGGGTGCCATCATGCTCCCCACTGCCCACAGGAGGAAGTGTGCATGACTTCATGGCCCTGAAGGCTCCGTGTGTGTCCACACCTGCTCCTCATGGACTGCCACCCTCTCTACTACACTTAGTGCACTTCTGCAGCCATCAGCACTTCTCCTCCTCCAGGCAGGATTCTCTGATTTCCCAGTGGCAGCCCCAACCTCAACAATTCTGGGTGACCCCCTGCTGGGAGGGGAGGACTCTGTCAGCCCCGTTCCCTTAAGTCCAAGGCAGAGGCTACTGCTGGCCCAAGTCCATTTGCATCAAGACTTTGTTAGCAAGGACATACTATGCTTGTATAATCTTAGCAGCCCAACTCCCAGCTCCTCTCCTCAGGCTGATCAATGGAACCTTGATGGCTACGAAGAGTAATATTCATGGTTTGTGCTAGGGCATCAGGAGAGGAATAGAAGCAAAGGGTATTCTGCATCTTGGGGATCAGGAGCCCTTGGGCATGCCTGGGTGAAAGACAGTCCTCCATGCAGTCCAGTCTGGCTCTCCAGAGTCCACATGTGGGGCTTAAGCCCAGGCTCAGCTAACCCCAAGATCTTACTCTGCTTTTCCTGGCCCTCTGTGCAGCAACCCTCATTTAGACGGAACTTATTTTGCACACAGATTGCCTTTTAGGGTTGGTTCTCTTTGGTAAGTGTCATATTCTAGAAGAGATACAATGCTCTTCAGGACCTCGACTGATACCTACTGGGGGCCCAGACACACCCAATGAACATGGGCCAGCATGTCCTGAGTGTGCCAACTAGGTGGGCCTGTTGGCGCATTCTGAGTTGGAGAGGACACTCCCAGGTATTTGGATCAATTTTGTTTTTCTCCTAAGTCTGAGTGACTGTCTCCCAACTTCACTGCCATAAGACTATACCTGTCTAGGGAAGAAAGATTTGCAGGGTTCTAGGTCAAACGTGGAAGGAGCATTCGCCATCTGACTGTACTCAACATGACTGCATTAAAGCTAACAGCCAAGGTACATAATAAACAGTGACTGTCTTGGTCACCCAGTAGAAGCAGCAGCGTCAGCTCCGGGGACCCACAGACCACACCTCCATCCCTGTGTACTTCTGTGACATCTTTCTGGCCTCAACATTCAGAGTCTTGCCCAATGAGCTGGGCCACTGCGCGCATCCCTACACCCAGTCAACCCTCTGCTCTTGCCTGGGCCCACCTACCATGGAGCTCACACTCCTGCCCCCTGCAGCCTGCCCTCTCTCCTCTAAAACTCACACTTCAGGCCTTTCTTCCTACACAGAGGATTGGGGGGAACAACATCCACCACCTCCAAATACTATCCTAGAATCTACCTTTCTTTCAGTGGTGTTTTCCCCCACCTGGAAAAGTGAAGAGAAACAAAGCAGGATCCCCCCATCCAGTGAGGGGAAGCCCGCTGGTCCCTGGACAGACCCAGGACCACCACTTCTCCAACCACTTCTTTTAAGCTAACAAAAACAGTGCCCAGCGCCCTTTCTTTCCTGGAGACCCCGGCAATTACTGCTGTTTCCTTTCAGAGGGTTATGTTCCTGTTTCGCCTGGGGGATCAATAACTCCTCCAGGCAGGAGCGATCTGGACTAGACTCCGCTTCCTTGGCCACATTAGCCTGACTTCCCTCCAGCTACTGGAGAGGAGGAATAGAAGGCTGCCAGCAGTTACTCATGATTTGATAAAAATAATTATTTACACTCTCCTGTAATAAAATCAGCACGGTTCTCATTCAACAGTATGGGCTCAGTCACCTTCAGTTATTTTCTTTGTTGTCTTTGTTAAGATATGAGTCAAAAAACCAATCAAATAATGAGTCCCAACCTGGTGGGCCAAGCCATCTCCTGGCGCCTGGAACAGACAATCTTTGTTCAGGGTAAAATATAAAAACTTTGTTTTTCTGAATTTGACAAACACAGAAGAACCCAGAGAAGTGGAGCCATTGGATGTCACAGGGAGGAAAGCCTAGAAGGGGGTGAGGGGCTCATCTAGGTGGCTGAGTATGTGCAGGGTAGAGAGGTAGGGGGCATCCAGGCCAGCGCTCTTTGCCATTACTCTGCCCCACTTACCTTTGTGGTGGTTTGTTTATTTGTTTTTTAAGATTTATTTATTTATACAAGCACTGGGGTATAGGCCAGAGGCGCAAGAGGGTGAGAGGATTCACGAGAGACAGAGCAGGGAGCAGAACAGGCGGAAGGACTGAAATACACTGCTGAGGGGATCAGTGGGTGAGACAGGAGAGGTCTGCCGCACCATGTGGGTATCTCCCTAGCCAGTCGGGAATCAAACCGGTGCTGCAGAGGCTGCGAACAGCTTCACAGTGCTGCACCCAACTCACTGCGCCACCGGGGAGGCTCCCCCCACTTACCTTTGTAAAGAGCAAGAGTTTGGAATTATACATGGCCTAGGCATGAGACCAAATTAATACAGTGTTCCTGGGTGGGGGCGGGGGGAAATACTTACCACCTGCACCAGGTGTGTCTGGCCTGCTTGTTACTGGTATCATCCGATGTTTCTAAAGTACTGGAAATAGTTTCATTCTATGATGGGAGTTCAGTAGTTTCCCGTCAGTCCTGCCATAGCACTGTCATGGGATTGGTCAACACTTTGTTTCTAGATTCTGTGAAGTTCGACTTCAACCCAACCCTGATATTCGCCTATGTAGGTCAGCAGGACACAGGCGAGGGTGTCCTCTGTAGTGGAGGCCTCGCCCGCTCACTGGCTCCAAACTAGGTTTATTGAGAAGCTGCAGGTGCAAGTACTAGGCTCCGCCTTCCTGGCTGCATAGGCTTTCTAAGAAAGGAGAAGGGAGAACCACTGTGTCCCCCTCAAAGAAAAGTGACCAAGGGCCAGCCAGAGGTCTTCATTTTTGCCCTCTACTGTCTACTCCCCATCTGCTGCTTCAGCAGTTCCTTGATCCCAAAGGACAGTTTTTCATTTATTTTTTAATTTTTTTAAATTTTTTTTGCTGATTGGAACTTTCTAGTTTTTTTTAATGAATTTATTTTTTATTAATAAAGCACCATTTTTTTACAACTTTGTTATTATTTTGACAATCCAGGATTTCTCGCCTTTGGTGTGGTTATCATTGCTCTCCCACCACCAAATCACGCCATAGTCTTCTGCCATAGTCTATAGGACTCCTCCCACCTTCTTTTATTATTATTATTATTTTATATATTTTATATCATTTCTCATTTTTGTACAATGTATGCATTTTCATCTTGGTTATAATCCCCTGAAATTCCCACCACCCGTTCACCTGTGAACCATCACCATAGTCCCTTGTGCTCTTCCCACCCATTTTGATCCTACTCCTTTCTCCCAAGGGACAATTTTTTATTGGTCAAAGTGGGCATGTTTCCTGGATTCACTAAAGACCATGAGATCAAATGGGGGTCTGGAGGGTCCCAGCAGCACTTCACGTGGACTCGAAGGTGCAGTGACACCGTAGCCTCTTTGAGCCTCTCCCTGTGCAATGGAGACTCAGCGTTGCTTCACACCAGGAGATGAACAAGTTAAATGCTTATCACACATCCCATGCTCAGTTATCACTCCCTCTACAGAGAGGCTTTTTAGATGACCTAGTCCAAATTTCTTGTCTCAACAGGTGAGAAGACTGAGGCCCAGGGAAGAGTTTGCTTTTCTCAAAGTCACCAAGAAAGACAGCAAAGAATCCCAGAGGTACTGGTCTCAGGGCGGGAGACCCTGAGGGTCTGAGGCTTGGAACAACCCTCATAGCACATGAGGCCCCACATACCTGCTGGGTCTGGCTGCTGATCACCTTTGCACTGTACCAGACGTATCCGAGGGGGCAGGATAATGAGGTTCCTAGGTGAGAGGTCAATCACACACTGGTACAGCCCCACATCCTGCCTCTGCAGCTCTATCACTGTCACCTTGAACACAGCTTCAGTGGGGTAATCATCCAGCACGTATCTCCCAGCCTGGGCCAGATTATGCCTCGGGTCTCGCGTGGTGGTGCGCACCAGTGTATCTGGGGGGCCCTGCATCCCCAACCGCTGCCAGGCCTTTAGGCTGGTGGCATACGTCTGGCGGTTGTAAGTACAGGTGACAGTTAGGTTCTTTCCTTCTTGCAGGCACTCTTGCTGTACCTCTTGGCCTTCAGCTTGGAATCCTAGAATGAGGGGTCAAAGTACTTCATTGAACAAACATCCCTTCCACCACCTCTCCATGAGTGAATCAATAGCCTCTGTAGCCCAATCAAGCATTTAGGAGTAATTTGGGATTTCTGAAAATTATTTTGAAATGGCTCAGCAATTGTGTGTGTGTGTGGTGTGTGTGTGCGAAGCAAATAAGGCAAAATCATGGTTGAATGATTAAATCTAGATGATGGAAATGATGGTGCCTAATCTTTCTATATTTTGTTGATTGGAATTTTTTTTATAACAAAACATTTTTAAAAGGTTAAAAAGAACTAGCTTTACCACCCACAGTCTCTTCTACTTGGGGTTCCACAAACATGTCCCTGGCTTTTTGGTACCCAATACTTTATCTTAGCTCCTGGTGTCCTCAAGTTGAATGCTCTTTCTTTTTTATTGTTATTTTCTTTTTCTTCTACCAATGCTTCCTCTAGCTTAGCACCTGCCTTATTTAAGGGGAAACTTTGCTTCCATTTCTTTTCATGCCCCAAGATACCAGCACAAAGATGAGAGATTGTTTGACTTCAAATCATTTTCTCAACTGCAAGATGTGCCGGAGGAACCTCCAGTTTCTGTCTCACCACCCAACCCTGCTGGGTGAGGGTCGAACAGCAGTCTGCATTCATTACCTTCCTTTTCCCTTTCCTGCCTGACTGCATAGTCTGATCCTATTCCAGTCCCTCCTGAAGAAGTGAGGCAAACCCCTCCTAGCAGTACCTCCCTTCAGCCATCACATCCCTCTCCCCATCTCTCCTTACCTGAGAACCAGACCAGCAGCAGCAGCAGTAGCCATGTCCACCCCCCGAGCCTTGTTCCCTCCATTCTATCCTGCATCCTGGATGGGCTGTGGCTGGCTGCCCCGGAACTCTTCCTGGAGGGCAAGGATGTGGTCTCACACGAACAACTGGGACTGGTTGTTACTTTGCAGTTGAGAAATCCTAAGAAAAATATGATGTGCAGGAGCAGCTCAGAAAAATGCAGAAGAAGAAAAGAGAGATCATTTCTCTTGCGACAGCTTCCTTCCTGTTTCCATGATTATCACAGCCCTATTGGGCAACACTCAATAGCTCCTTATTATCCACCATCGCAAGTCTAGACCTCCCACCTGATGTCCCACCTTTCCACTCACTTCCTCACCAAGGCATTCTCATCACTGGCCACTGACCATCACACCCTGCAATCCCTCCTGTCCTCTCCCAGTCTGGAATAATACTAAGCATCTGAATTTGGCTTGCCCTTCAAGACCCAGTTAACTTTCTTGATGTCTTGTGTTCTTTAAACTTTTTCCATACCGTGGCTCTCAAGCATGAGATACAGCTGAGTCACTCAAGAAGCTTAGCAAACAGTGACCTGGACTTCACCCCAGAGATTCTGATTTGGTAAGTCTGAGAAGGGACCAAGAATCTTCATTTTAATGAGCAGTGCAAGTGATTGTGAGCAAGTGGTCCAGAGAGATGAGGTCTGCGAAAGCTCTGTATGCGGTGAGATGGGCCCTGACATATGCCTCAGGTACCTACCTTTACAGGGGTCTGCTTCCCTGAGCGTGGGCATAGGAGGACTAGGAGTAAGTGCCTCCAATTGATGTCCTACTGTGTGCCAGGTGCTTTACACAGGTTATCTCATTAATCCTACTGGCTCTGGGGAGTTGTGTAGTCAGTATCTGTCACTTTTTGGCTTTCCTGTAGCCAGCGCTTTTTTCATCTGGGGGACAAGCCCCAACATGTGGGTCTTGCTAGGATGTGTAGCTCCACTTCCCTTTCTACTGAGTACAGAAGCAGATGTTTCTCCTGTCACTTCTTCCTGGCACCAGTGGGACAGGCATGACACTTGACCTAAGTTTGTCAAATGCATGATTCTGCCCAGGATTTAGGATCCTGAGAGTGTGAGACAAGCAGCAGGGTCAGTTGGAATGATTTACACAGGGGCAATGGAAGCACTGAGCCAGGAAAGCGTGGGGGCAAGTGCCCGGTAGCTTCAAGAGTCCTGGAGCAGGGCCTCCCCCGGTGGCTCAACGGTTGAGAACTGGGCTGCGAAGCTGCCCACAGCCTCTGCAGCGCCGATTCAATCCCTGACCACCAGCGAGGGTCCCACATGGCGCACAGACCTCTCCTGCCGCGCCCACTGCTCCCCTCAGCAGTACATTTCCTCGGTCTGCCTGTTCTGTTCCCGGCTCTGTCTCTGGTGAATCCTCTCACCCTCCCGCGCATCTGGCCTCTACCCCGGTTCTTGTATGCATGAATAAATAAATCTTTAAAAAAAAAAAAAAAAAGAGTCCTGGAGCAGGGGCCTCAATGGCAATATCACAAGACTGTCTTGTCCTTTAGCCTCAGTTTCGGCCCCTGCTCTCCATCATCTCTTGGTCTCCACCATTTTCCAAACCAGATCCTCCAATATTCTCACCTACTCTACGAGCAGCTGAGCTCCTTCTAAAATTCACTTGCTGTTTAAGAGAACCAGAATGAGATTCAGTTGATTTCAAAAATCATGACTGGTTTTGGTTATTACACCCTTTGAGGCAACGAGAGAAATCTCTTGTTGAGGCTGAGGCCCCAAAAGATGAACTGAGTTGGGTGTTTTTAATTCCAAGTCCTGTGTGCTTAACCACATGATGCTATTCTTATCCGGCAAGTTCCCAGCAAGCAGCAGGTGGCTCACTGAAACTGACTAATTGAGAGGCAATTCAATAAAAGTGTGGGGAGGGTTTGGAACCCCAGAAGGGGCTAGTTCCCCAAGGCTGGGGACCGTGGTGGTGAGTCAGCCATTACCACCTCTAAGCCGGAGGGACAAGGGGAGGGAGCAGTTGCCCAAACTTGGGGATTGCTGCTGTTTGGTGAGGGGCTTCAGGGAACCTTCAGTAGAGGACACAGCCACTCCTGCCACACCCCAGGGCGCAGCCAGGATAGAATCCTGAGCTCACTGTCTTCCCATCCTCTCTGCTCTCCGCTCGCGCAGCCTGTTGGCAAAACCCACCCAGAAGCTGGTGGGCAAAGGAGCACGTTGACTTAGTCCACACAGACCAGACTTCCAGGCCCAAGGCAGGGGAGAAGAGTCTGGAAGGGAGTCTTCAGGTGCCAACACGTGTCTTTCAATGCTGTGTTTATAATTTCTCAGCAACTTTACTTTGACTTAACTTCTACTTGATGTGTAATTAAATCAACACCACACACTAAATCAAGCACGATAAGCCACAGAGTGAATATAGGAACATGTTAAGGTGTTTGCTGAGGAACATGCCGGCTTCTGGGAGCCCTATCTCTCAAATTAGCTAGTGAACCACTAAGAGGGTCTGGGGCTGTGAGGCAGTGGGTCTGGAGGACCTTGGGAACCTATACAAAGGCTCCAGGAAACTCTGAGGCGGGTGCTTTCAGAGCTGCAGTTTGAGAAGCACCGCCCTACAGTGTTCTGCCTCTCTGAGACAGCATTTCACTAGATTCCCTCCCTTGTCCAGGGCTTTTTGTCAACTTCCCAAAGAGGTGCAACACTTGATCTACTAATGCAGGTCCCAGATGAGGGAACTCAGAAAGCAAACACCTTGCCGCGCAGTGACTGACTCCACCACTCTGCTCTTTCAGGCAGGAATGTCCATGTGCAGGATGAACAGCTTCTGGATTAAATGTTCTCCAGCAGAACATTTGGGTCAGCGCCATCCTCTGGGGGGTTCACACGGAGCGTTCTCAGGCAGATGAAGAAGGTGCAGGACGGGGAGGATGTTCCTCAGCACTGGGTGCTTTTCTCACAGGAGTCGGGGAAAGCCAGGCTGATGGTGGGAATGTGCTTTCCTAACGCGAGTCGGACCGTGTATGGTAGGGTGTGTTTGCTCTTGGGGAACTGAGGGTGAGACTGGCCTTGGCCATGCCTGAGGTGGAATGTAAGGCTCGTCATCTTTCCCCCACCATTGGGGCCATTCCCCTTCAGAGTCAAAAAGGTAGGAAATTGGAAAATCCTGATTTCAGTCTGTTGGCACAGATGGGCCTGGTGCCCATTTCATGGGAGAGCTTGGGAGCTAAAGGGGAGTTACAGGGGTAAATGGAGAGAAGGAAGAAGGCAGAGGGGCACTAGGAGTGTGTGTGGAGGCTGGCTCCCAGCGGATCCCACCTTCCAGCAGACCCCACCATCCCTGCGCCTGCATGGTACCAGGAAAAGAGGCATTCAGATACAAGCAGCTCTGGGTTTTTCTACCATGTGGCTTTGGGGTGCTTAGTCTTCAGTGAAGGGGCGCTTTAGTTTTTGTTCCAAAAAATGGTGGCCAATAAATGGTGACGATTACTCATTCTAGTCAGATTCTTCTCTACCTTCACCGGTTTGTTCTAAGGATCCAGTGATTAATGTAGATGATGCGATATTCTCTGTCAATCCTATCCTTGGAAAATAGCTCACTCAGTATTTTCCAGAATCCAACATTCTGATTAACTCAGTCCCTTATTCCCAAATATGGATTTCTCCCCATGGCATCTTGTCTTCTCCCCATTCCATGGTTTTCAACACCCTTCCTCAGAGTGTTGAAAGGACCACAGACGAAGGGAGAAACCTAAGCATCTGATTCTAGACAAAAAGCCCCATGGCCAGAAGAGCAGGACACTGCAGGGCACACACTCTGTCCAGGTCAGTCTAAAATGTGACAGTCCAGGGCAAGGCCTGGGCACATTAGCAGCTGTTTCCTCTTACTCCGTCACCCCCACAAGACAGTGACAATGAAAACATGACATTCTGTCTGTAATTAATGCCAACTCTGAGGCACTGGAGGGGTGGAGGATTGGGGTAGGTTTGGAACAGTCTCTTCTCTTTTGCAGTGGCAAAGCATACACCCAAGCTTATTAGTGAAGTGAGGGGAGTGAGCAGGGCCAGGGAGGTGAGACCCTGAGTCTTAGAAATAACCTGTATTACAGATTCAGTTCCTGTTATGGCCACCTGCTGGCCCACCCTTCCCCCTCGAGATCTTCTTCTGGCACAACTATCGAACTGATGTGGATGAGGTCAGAGATCAGTTTGTGCAGGTTCATAGGCCTAGTGTCCAAATGACCTCTGTGTGACTGCTAGCAGGACAGCGAAGACCAGGCTCTTGCTCAGGATTCCACAGGCCACCAGAACGACGATGCTGATCAGAGAGGTCCTGGGGAGTTAGGGGAGGAAAGTGCATGTTACCACTGTCCATGACCCTGCACTTGATACTTACTCCACCAAAAGTCCCTCGTGCCCCATCTCTTCTGCGCAGAACCTTCCCCATACCAACTGGTCCTGTGCATTTTAGTTTGTCCCACTGCCTAAAACTACCGATTAGAAATTTATTTAGTAGAGCAAATGAATCTACGTCCAGAGGGCACCACAGAGAAAAAGCAGGATCTTCCTCCTTGTGCAGAGGCTCTTCCTGCACTCAGATGAGTAGAGAAGCCATCTTCTCTATGTTCCAGAGCCAGCAAACAGGGTTTCTGTTCTCGGCATCTGGATTGTCATCTCACCTCTTTGGCCTCAGTTTCCTTATCCATAAACTGAGAAGAACACAGTCTTCATCAAAATCTTATCACAAAGTTTTCCAGATTTTAGCAAAATGGGTTAATGTCAGTAGATGTCCTAAGAATGGATACAAATGAATGAGGAAAACTTAGTCTGTCCAGACTCAACTGCTATAGAAATAGACAATTTCTACAACTACTCTACACAAGACTAGAGATCAAATTGAAGGACAGGGGGAAAAAAAGCAAATGTTTAAAAATGAATAATGGTGTAAAATATATATAAATTAAAAAAGAAAAAGGATTCATGTTTTATAAAGTTTAGCAGAGAGTTGAAGTCAAATAAATTAACCATAAGTCAAAAAAATAAAATAAAATAAAATTGAGAGCCAGGGAACAGTGAGACACAGAGGGCGCTAGAGGCAGGTCAAGTGTTATCTAAGCATCTGACATCAGCAGCTCCACGGGTGCCTGGGGCTACTCAGTGAAGAGCCTTAGGCACCTGGACAGCAAAATGATGAGAAAGTCACCTTTTTACAACTTAAACTATGCAACAAATTGACTTCCCTCCCCAAGAGAGACTAAACATTTTTTAAATGAAAAAAAAAAAAAATAGAAAAGTTCCCAGAAAATAGAATCAAGCAGCACACACAAAGAATAAACCAGCAGTAAGTTTATATAAAATGAAAACAATCTGCATGTCTGAAAGCAGACAAATAATTATTACATAAGTTATGGCTTATCTGTTGGTAGAAAAGCGTAGTCACCAAAATTATAAATATGAAGACTAGGTATCAACATCAAACAATAGTCTTAGCATGGGAAAATATTTATAATTAGGACTACTACTGTGTTGAAAAATATATAAACATAAATATAGACTAGAAGAAAATACAGAGAAAGAAGACATGTTAGATTAGTGGAAATATGGAAGGATATTTCTTCCTCTTCTCATTGACTATTTAATGATAAACATATGCTAAGATAAATCAGTGTTTAGTTGTAACCTCTAAAAAGGGTTTTGTCTACAAAGTTAGGGATTCTCATCTTCGCTTGAACATGGAGAAATCTCTGAGGATTTTATATAAATGTACTGAGAACGGTTCCATATCCAGAGTTCTGATTCTGTTGGTCTTCATTACAGCACGTGCATCAATATTAAAAACAAACAAAGCATTCGTGGCAACATGGATGGAGCTGGAAGGGATCATGCTCAGTGAAATAAGCCAGAAAAAAAAAAAAAAGAAAAATACTGTGTGGTCTCACTTATAAGAGGAATGTAGAGGATCCAAATAAGGGATCAGAGAAAAAAAAGTAATTATAACAAAGTAAAAATCAAAATCAGCATGTAACTATAAACCAAAGATGTTCTGCAGGCAGGGGAGGAAGGAGTTGGATCAAAACAGGGGTGGGAAGAGCATAAGGGACCATGGTGAGAGTTCACGGGTGAATGGGTGGCGAGAATTTCCCAGGGATTATAACCAAGATGAAAATGCGTACATTGCACAAAAATGATGTAAAAAATATAAAAAATAAAATAATAATTTTAAAACATAAATTAAAAAAATAAGTATTAAAATTCCAAAAATGAAAACAAAATAAAAACAAAACAAAGGAATGCAAACACTTCAGGTGATCCTAAGTTGCTGTAGCTGTGAGAACTGTTGAGTTAGATTATTGCTTCCAGCCCGGTTTCCCAGTCCCCCAACAAGGAACAAGGCAGAGAGGGTCCCTGACTCTCTGAGATCACACAGCCAGTATTCAAATCTATGGTGTCTCCCTCAGTAAGCTTTTCCCTCCATACCTTTAGGACCCTGGGGCTGCCTAAGATTCATGGGACTTCAGCAAAAGATGCCATCTTCCCCATGTTACTGCTCTGCAGTGTAAAGAAACACAGGTGAGCTGGAAAGCAGCCTCTCTGACAGCCTCCTCCTGGCTCATGCACCCCCTTCTGCTCCTAGGTAGTTTCTACCAGACTGAGGTGATTCAAGTCTGTGCCTCCTCTCCACCCTCCTCCACCCCTCAATTCCCACATCCCTTCAGCACATGGACTAGAATCAAAGGACTTGGTGTCCAAAAAGCAGCCCAGCGGCAACCTGGAAACCATACCTGGTGACATCTGTCACATTGGTGACGGGGGCACTGATAGTTGACATGAGTGAGATTTGGGTTGTGGTTCTGGAGGTGGTTTGGGTTTTGCTCTGAAGGTGGTTTGTTGTGGAGATGGTTTGGGGTTTGCTCTGGGTCTCGATGATTGTGGGAGAGAGGGTGGAAAACCCATTTGCACCAGGAATACCTGAAATATATTCAGAAAGGCACATTAGATGAATGAATGGATGAAAGGATGGATGGATGGATGGATGGATGGATGGATGGATGGATGGATGGATGGATGGATGGATGGATGGAAGGATGGATGGATGGATGGGTGAATTTTGGGGCAGTGGTGGAAGGATAGATAGATGAATGACTCAGTAGATAAAGAGATGAATGAGTGAATGGATCAGTAGGTGGTAGGGTATATGGAGCTAAGGGAGAAATGAATATGGTCATTCAAGAAATGAAGTTTTCTTTTGCTAAGATCAAAGAAATAGTGTGAGGTCGTCCTGAATGAGAGAAAGGGAAATGGGAAGGGAGGGGGATAGGGGAGGAAGGGGTGAAGAACAAAGGAACTTTCAGGCTACACATGTCATTGGAAATGCACTTGCCTGCTATTTTCCACCAATCTGTGTGGCCCCACCTTCTTTAAGAATAACTCCCTGATTACTTTATACCATTCACTCTAGTCTGCACTCACCTATACCTGTGACATATTGCTTTATAAGTTATTTTTTATTAATATACTGCATATGTACTTTGTCTTCCTTAGGCTTAAAATTTCCCAGGTGCAAGAAACTTGAACCAGTCTCCCTTTTCTCTGCCTTCCATAATTCAGCCAATCAACATCTATGGAGACCCTACTGTGTGCCCGGCACTACGACAGTTGCTGGTGATGAGGCCCTTCCCTCAAGGTACTCAGAGATGAATAGGTAAGATGAATAGATAAGTAACCCAGCCACTGCAACCCAGTAAAACAGTATTGTCTATGAGAAGACACAGAGAGAGTCTGGAGTCTTATTTCCCAGGTTGGAGGCCATGGATGGACAGCATAAGGCATCATGTGGGAACTGATCAGAAATGCAGGATCTAGGTCCCACCCTAGATCCAGTGAAGAAGAGTGTGTCTTTGAAATAAGAGCCCCAAGTGGCTGGTATCCACAGTAAAGTCTAAGAAGCACTGCTTTGGAAGCCCACGGGAGGGACAGCAGACATAACCTTGGGAGGTCAGAGCAGATCACAGAGGCTTCCCTGAGGAAATGACTTCTACATAGATACAAAGAAGAGACATGGGCCTCCCTGGTGGCACAAAGGGTTATGATGCAACCTATGAAGCTACAGGCAGCCTCTGCAGCACGAGTTCAATCCCCAGCCAGGGAGCTACCCGCATGGCAATCAGACTTCTCCTGTCTTGCCTGCTGCTCCCCTCAGCAGTGTATTTCAGCACATCTGCCTGTTCTGCTCCCCACTCTGTCTGTGGTGAATCCTCTCGCCTCCATACCTCTGGCCTGTACCCCAGTGCTTGTATGCATAAATAAATAAATCTATTTAAAAAAAAAAAGGAAAGAAACTAAGAAGAGGCTAACTCATGTCCAGTCTACCATTCATCTCCCATTGTAACCAGCTTCTTACAGCCGCACAGCAAATCTGTGTCAGCTCCCCAAGCAGCATTCATGCATAGAGTCCCCAACTTCTTTTGGACTAAATGTCTCTCAAGAACTTCAAATGAGAGACTGGTAGCTTCTGAGAGAAAGAAGGGCTGCTAGAAGTTCTGAGTCACAGCTCTGGGGGTGCTCCCCCCACCGCCCCTATACCCGCCTGGCCTGGCTCCCCTTGCTGTACCCCCTACACCCAGATCACTCACTCTTGGTCACCACTAGGCGGATGGGTTGGAACAGCACTTCAGGGTCCTTGGGAGGGTGGTAGATCACACACCGATATAGTCCTGAGTCCTCCTCTTGAAGGTTGGTCACTTGGACTTCCAGTAAGCCCTCGGTGGGCTTGTCCTCTAGGAAGTACTTTCCCACCCGGGCTTGCGTGAACTTCCCTGCAGGCCTCTCTGTGATCACCAGATTCACGGGCTCCGCTCCGTCCAGCCTCTGCCAAGCCTTCCTGCTATTGGAGTACTTCCAGGTGGAGGTGGGGCATTTCACACTGAAGGTCTCCCCCTCTGCTAGGGTAAATACAGCTTCTGATTCGGCTGCAACTCGGAGTCCTATAAGCAGGGCATCAGAGTGAAGCTCTGTAAGGAATAACTTTCCTCTTTGGAAACATGAGAGAGGAACCACTTCTTTTTCTTTTTCAACTACTCATTTTTCAGAGAAGCTTTTCAAGGCCTCCAGAGAAAAAGCACTTTTCCGTACCAGCCAGCACTCGAACCCAGATCTTAATACCGCATTTTGCTTCTACTATAGGAGCGAGAGAGACTGCATGATTTGTGCAAATCAACTTTTGTAAATGATTGTTTTTGAGAGGAAGAAATTGCCTGATTGGAGACAGAACATGGACACAAGCTAAGATCACAGTGACGGGCACTCAGCTCCCAGGAGGCCCCAAATGGCATTTGTGTGCAGGCTCCACAAGGTGACTGTGACCTCCCCCAAAGTAGTGGGCTCCTGAAAACCCCCCATCATCTTTCACGTCTGCCCAAGGCAACCGTACTTCCAACTCACTCGCAGATTCTTCCCTTTCTCTGGTTCTCTTGTAAGAATATGGAAGAGGACCAATAGGAGTTTCAGAAACTTCCATTTTTGGTGACGGTGTGAGCCGTGCAATAAGAGGAGAGCTGTATGGGCGTGGGGATGGGGCAGTGCTGCTGAGCCTGAGCCTCATGGGTAACGGAGGTGTGGAGAATGGGGCGCAGTCTCTGTGAGAGTGGGCGCCAGGTCTTTCCCATGCATCCTGAGCTGCAGCATAGTCTCTGGCCTATTGTAGGCTACCAGGGAATATTTGTCAAATGAGTGGTCTTCTGGGTTTCATTGACAGTCCACATCCAAAACACCATAGTGAATATGAGAAAACTACTTTCAACTCAAAATTATTTTAGTTGATGTCAAGTTTAGATTTGCTCTATCATTTTTCCCTCTCATTTTGTATGTCCTAGACACCAAAACGCACAGACATCCTGTTTCCCTAACTCACCCCTTCTATCCCTGTCCTCAGGCCTCATATGTTTTCCTGAGTCTGCTAAGGTTGAGAAGAGAAAGCCAGCCTGGCAAAGGCTTTGGATCTTGGGGGACCATATCCCTTGGAGATTCAAAGAAAAAGGTGAGGCACCCCCCCAAGATCCTGGCTCTGCCCCCCTTCCTCAACTTACCTGATATGAGGAGGAAGAAGACCCAGAGCAGCCCCCTGACCCTGTTCTTCTTCATCCTTTAGTTCAATTGCTGCTGTGACTCTGGGGACAATTATGAGGTGACTCTGACCTAGAGGCTCCAGAAGGTTGCACAACAGGATATGAGGTCACTACTGGGAGTTTCTGAGTCTGATGCTGTTTCATCACTGGTTGCCTTGCTTCAGATTTCAGAGACCATGCAGGAACCTAGAGATGGACCCAAATCTCATGAAGCACCTCCAAACCCCAGTTTCCTGCTCTCTGGGCATAAATAATAATGTTAACTTTCAACTACACATTTTAGTGGGAATAATATTTGGGGGGAAACAAAATAAAGTGTTAATATTATTGGGGCCCCCACTCAATTGCCACCCAGTTCAATGTGGGCCAGAATGTGGGCCAGATTGGGTAATAATACTTTATTTTTAGGGGTTTTTTGGGCACTGAATGAAATCCCTATGGAAATTAATATAGTACCTAATGCACACATTATTTTTACATCCTACCCCTGCATACCAGGCGACCCCAATCCCCTGGGCTTGAGGCCACCTCATCTTTATTACCAGGACAGCTACACCCTGCACTTACCCTTGGTGTTCTGTCACAGATGTGCCTGGAAAGTTCCCAAAGGGGTGGAAAACCCCAGAAATGATTGGAGAAAACATTTCCACCATTAAATAAGAATATATTTACATTTTACAAAAGAAATAGGTTGATATAGAACAAGACAGTGATGGAAGAAAAAAAATCTAGCAGGTTCCAACTAGAAGCAAAGGAAGACAGATTTGACATGGTGAGAAATCAATGACGAAGTTTCATTATTTGAATATTTTCTATATTCAAAAATATTCACAGGTGTGATGTATATAAAGATATTTTGAAGAGTTCAGAAATATATTATAGGACAAGTCATAGAAATGCAATTAATAATCTACAAATACAAGAAATTCTTCACATGTAACATAAAGTGGGGCCATAAAGTGGATCATAAACAAGGATGAAAGTGTATATATTTTAAACTTCTTTCCTTATCTGAAAAGGAATCTGAAACTGGATAAAGAAGTTGAAATTAAGAGAGTTTAATATAAACAAGAAAAAAATCATGGAGACCAATACTAGGATGCTTTCAGATGGAAAAAAAATTAAATAAAAAGACTCCCACTGCTAAGCAAACAGAAGAAAGATTTGATTCTTATGAAGGAATTGAAATGACAGGACTCAAATTTCTTGTCTGAGTAACAAGTATCAAGAGACAGTAAGATGACTGTAAGGAATACCATAAACTCTAGAATTTTATACCCAAATTGATTGCTATTTGAGTATGAAAACAACTAAAATGTATTAATGCATCTGCAAGTTAAAAAATAAAAAAATCTTGTAAGGTTAAAATTCTTTAATTACAATGGTTGAATGCATCAATTTATAAAATATAGACAATAATAAAGAAAGCTAAATCATATAATTACACTTGTAGAGATCATTATAGTTAAGATTTTATTCAAGTTCCTCTTATTCTGTGTTCTATAAATGAAATCAAAGCCTGTCTTCAAACTGTACAGAATTGGCATCTGCCAGACATGTTCTTGGTTTTACGCATTTGGCCCACAAGGAAGGAAAGTAGACTAGAGGTTTTGAAATTTTCTGACTCAGAGGAGCCTACGTGATTTACAGGGATGAATCAGATAAGCATGATTAATACAATTCATTCAACAAATCCCTCTTCTTACTACAAACATCTTCCACTCTTAAGTAAATAATACAAACTTTCTAATTCTGTTTCTTGGCATGCTTTATATTGAGAATGAAATTTCTGAAACACTAAGAAGGAATTTTCAGCTGTACTTTAAAACTAAGTTTTTGCTATACTTAGAGGTCTGGTGTTTGGTGCAACTATGTTTAGGATCATTGACTCTCCTGGGTGGGTTGATGCTGTCTTCGTTATGGAGGCTCTTTCTTTGTCTCTAAATCTTTCTTTCCTTTGCTCTAGAATCTGTTTCAATCAGACATTTTACATCGTTGCCCTGCTTTTTGAAAAAAACTGATGTTTGTGTGATATATCTTTTTCTCTCCTTTTTCTTTCAACTTACCTAATAGTTGACTTTGAACTGCGTTTTTTTGTGAACTGTATATAATTGGGTTGTGTTCTTTATACCTACTCTGTCCATCTTTGCCTTTTGATCGGTATAGATGATTTTCATTTAGGATAATTATTGATATATTAGCACTTTAATCTACCATCTCATTGCTGATTTTCTGTTTCTTTCCCCTGATCCTCATTCTTTTGTTTCTCTTTTGGGAACTTTTAATTAAATAGCCTGAAAAGGATTTCTAATTAGACCTGAGTACCCCAGGAAGGGAACTGCCCCTTCTCACCATCCTCTCTAGAGGCAGCACTTGAGCACATTGAAATGAGAATAAAATCTTTCTCTGCTGCTGTATCACTTTGTGTGCTCCAGATAAAAAGAATGTAAATACCCAGTCCTTCCTTTATCCCTTATTTTCCGGAATTCAGTGACCCCTGCAGTACTTTAAATTCTCAACCTACTTCTCCCAACAAGCTTTCATCTCTTATGGCTTCTCATTAAACAGTCTTGAGACTTGTAACTCAGGGTATCTTAATTTTATTAAGGTTGAGCCAAAAGTTCTACCTCCTTCCCTCTACATTCACTCCTTTGGTAGCCTTAGCACCAAACTTAAGAGATTTATTTTTAAGGTTTCTTGCCTTCTTGCATTTGTTTGGCAAACATTATTTTCAGTGCTGTTATGAAAGCCTATACAAATATTTTTTTTATTAGATAATAAATTTTATTGTTATATTCCCCATACAATTGCAGCCCCCCCATTCTGACCCCAATCCCTCCCCTCCCGCCCCTGCCCCCCTAAAAGTGTCTCTGGTTCATAGTTTTTTGTTGATTTTGATTTTCACTTTCTTATAGTTATTCATTTTCCTGGTCCCTTATTTAAGTTTTCTAGATTCCTGCTATGAGTGAGACCATCCAGTATTTTTCTTTTTCTTTTTGGCTTATTTCACTGAGCATGATCCCTTCCAGCGCCATCCATGTTGCTGCAAATTGCATGTGTTTATCTTTTTTGAATGCTGAGTAATATTCCATGGTATATATGTACCACATCTTCTTGATCCAGTCATCTATTTTTGGGCATTTGGGTTGTTTCCAAAGCTTAGCTATTGTAAACAGTGCTGCTATAAACATAGGGGTGCAGGTGCTCTTTGGAATTGATGTTTCTGTGTCCTTTGGGTAAATACCTAGGAGTGGAATTGCTGGATCATATGGAAGCTCTATGTTTAGTAGGTCCAGAAATCTCCACACAGCTTTCCACAGTGGTTGGACCAGTTTGCACTCCCACCAACAGTGCAGAAGAGTTCCTTTTTCTCCACACCCTCGCCAACATTTGTTGTTGCTAGTTTTTTTAATATGTGCCATTCTCACTGGTGTAAGATGGTATCTCATGGTAGTTTTGATTTGCATTTCCCTGATGACAAGTGATGTTGAACATTTTTTCATATGCCTGTTGGCCATTTGCATTTCCTCTTCAGAGAAGTTTCTTTTTAGCTCTTCTGCCCATTTTTTGACTGGATTATTTTCTTTGTTGTTGTTGAGTCTCATCAGCTCTTTGCATATTTTTGTGATCAGTCCTTTATCATTAGTGTTGGGTGAAAAAATGTTCTCCCAGTTGCTGGGGTTTCTCTTTGTTTTTGTTATTGTCTCTTTTGCTGTGCAGAAGCTCTTTAATTTGATGTAGTCCCAGCTGTTTATCTTCGCCTTCACTATCACTGCTTTGGGTGATGTGTCTGTAAAGATGTCTTTGATGTGCAAATCACGTAGTGTTTCGCCTATATTTCCTTCTATATATTTTATGGTTTCAGGTCTTATGTCTAATTCTTTAATCCATTTTGAGTTGATTTTTGTGTATGGTGTGAGGTAGTGGTCAAGCTTCATTCTTTTGCATGTAGCGACCCAGTTTTCCCAGCACCATTTATTGAACAAACTTTCTTTGCTCCAATGCATAGTCTTTGCTCCTTTGTCAAAGATTAGTTGACCATAAATCTGTGGGTTTATTTCTGGATTTTCTATTCAATTCCATTGGTCTGTATGTCTGTTCTTGTTCCAATACCATGCAGTTTTGATGATTATGGCTTTGTAGTATAGTTTGAAGTCTGGGAGTGTGATGCCTCCATTCCCTTCTTTTTTTTTCAGGAGAGCTTTGGCTATTCGGGGTTTTTTGTGATTCCATATGAATTTCATCAATAATTGTTCTATTTCTTTGAAGAATGACATTGAAATTTTGATTGGAATAGCATTGAATCTGTATATTGCTTTCGGAAGGATGGCCATTTTAATAATGTTTATTCTTCCAATCCATGAGCAGGGGATATCTCTCCATTTCTTTGTGTCTTCTTCTATTTCTTTTAACAGTGTTTTATAGTTTTCTTTGTATAGGTCCTTTACCTCTTTTGTTAGGTTTATTCCCAAATATTTGATTTTTTTTGTTTCAATAACGAAAGGGATGGTTTTTTTGATTTCTTCTTCTTCAGATTTATTGTTTGTGTATAGGAAGGCTACTGACTTTTGCGTGTTGATTTTGTATCCTGCCACTTTACTGAACTGATTGATGAGTTGAATTAGCTTTTCTGTGGAGTTTTTGGGGTTCTCTATGTATAATATCATATCATCTGCAAATAGTGATAGTTTGACTTCTTCTTTTCCTATTTGGATTCCTTGGATGTCTTTATCTTGTCTTATTGCCCTGGCTAGGACTTCCAGTATTATATTGAAAAGCAGTGGTGAGAGTGGACATCCTTGTCTTGTTCCAGATCTTAATGGAATTGCTTTCAGCTTTTCACCATTGAGAATGATACTGGCTGTTGGCTTGTCATAGATGGCCTTTATGATGTTAAGGTATGTTCCTTGTATCCCAAGAATTTCAAGGGCTTTTATCATGAATGGGTGCTGCACTTTGTCGAAAGCTTTCTCAGCATCTATTGATATTATCATATGGTTTTTATATTTCTTTTTGTTGATGTGTTGGATAACGTTGATTGATTTTCGGATGTTAAACCATCCTTGTGTCCCTGGAATGAATCCTACTTGGTCGTGGTGAATTATCTTATGGATACATTGTTGGATTCTGATGGCTAAAATTTTATTGAGGATTTTTGCATCAGTGTTCATTAGGGAGATTGGCCTGTAGTTTTCCTTTTTTGTGTTGTCCTTGTTCGGTTTTGGTATTAGTGTAATGTTGGCTTCATAGAACGTGTTTGGTATTGTCCCTTCCTTCTCAATTTTTTGGAAGAGTTTGTGAAGGATAGGCACTAATTCGTCTC